CCCGTTTTCTCCTCGTTTTCTCCTCGTTTGCCCTTTTTCACCCTCATGTGCCCGCGTTTTCCCTCGCTCTCCCTCCATCTCCCTCGGGCTCCTTTATTTCCCCTCAGGCTCCCTCATTTTCCCCTATTTCCTTTTCTCTCCCCTGAGCTCCCTCATTTTCCCTGCCATCTCCCTCCACCTCTCTCCTTTCCCTCCAATTTGCCTCATTTCCTCTCAGCTTTCCATGATTCCCCTTGGTCTCCCATCTTCCTCTGCTTCCTTCATTCCACCTTAGCATCCCTCGTTTCCCTCTGCATTCCCCTCCTTCTCCCCAGGCTCCCTCATTTTCCCTGCCATCTCCTTCAGCTTCCCTCCACCTCCCTCCATGTTCCTGTTTTCCCTCAGCCTCCCCTCCACCCTCACCAGCCTCCCTCATTCCCCCCTATTTTCCTTTCTCTCGCCTCAGGCTCCCTCGTTTTTCCCGCCGTCTCCCTCCATTTTCTCTCAGCCTCCCCCATTTCCCTTCCTCCTTCTCAGCCCCATTCCCCACTGCTCCCCCCCATCTCCCTTTCCCCCTGCTCTCCCTCTTGCCTGCCCTCACTCCCCCACCATCTCCCCACATCCCCATCCCAAATCTCCATCCGGCACCAGGCCCCAAGCTCCTTCCCGACCTCYGCGCTCCAGCTGCTGGAGCTGCCGGCATCTTTCCCTTGGTGCCAGCGGCCTGGCCTCAATGGAGACCCAGGAGAAGGAGCTGTTTGCAACCAGGGCGGGAATGGGCAGGGGAAACAACGTCCCCTTTGCCGATGGGCAGCGCAAAAGCGGYCGCGGATGCCCTTGGTGAGCGGCCGTTATCCACAGCGATCCATGCGGATCAGCGGGACCAACGCCGGGGTCACCGTCCCAGCTGCAGCCAAGGCTGCATTAAAAGCCGCCCACCCTACAAACGTGGCTTTTTTTTCCCTCAGCACCAGACCCTGCTGCAGCCTCCGAGCGTGGCCATTTGCATCTGAAAAGTGGCATTTTTGTTTACATTTTGTTAGCGCTCCAAACGAGTTATTTCGCCCAATTTTGTGAGCCGGGGGAATTACTGAGGCGTGCGGGTTTGTGACTGTTTCTGAGCACATTTTCTTTTGGGAGTAAGGCAGGATTCTTTTTTTTTTCTTCTTCTTCTTCGCACAGGTTTCTTGTTTGAAATAGTTTGTTGATCTCTGTCTCGGCAGCAGAAAAATGTGTGTTAGCCAATAAGGGGGCATGTGTGTGCTGCTAACTGATAGCCACAGGCAAGGATTAATGGGCTCCCAAATCATTCTAAACAGCCCCTTTACCTCATCAGCCTCATAGAGGACTTAGGCAAAGCAAAATGCTTAATTGCTTCAGTTAACTAAAAAAAAAGAAAGAAAAGAAAAAGAAAAAAGCCTGTTTTGGATTCTTTCAACTGGCTCTGGTTTTAGTTTGCCACGTTTCTGTCTGATGCAGGCCCAAGAGGTATCTCCTGGGACAGTCTTTTCTCCATAGAAACAGGGCTCTTTCTCTGGGAGCTCTCATTGATATCATGAATTGGGGACATTATTCCCATGCCCSGGACTCTTAGCCCTCAATCTTTTCTAACTCCTAATTCCAGTCCTACCTATTCACTCATAGCTGCATCTAAGTCCTTGGTGCTCCCAGGACTGAATCCTTCCTGGAAATATCTCATTTTTTTTCCCATCCTTGTGGCTCTATTCTTGCTGTCTTGGGCTTGCTCCTGACACAAAAATTTTTGCTTAGAAAGGACCCTAAACGTCTTCAGTTTTTACCTTTTCAGTCTTTCCTRTGAAAATATCTGTTGGCCCTTCTGAAACACCAACAGGATTTGCTCTGGTTTTGAGTTGCCATTGGTGATTTCTTCATGCTTTTATTTTTTCTCCAGCCTTGGCTTCCAGTTCTGTTCATGATCCCACAAAAGTGCAGCCTCTGGAAGTCCGGGAGAGGCAGATCCCAGGCCACCCTCCTGCTTCGTCTTGGACCC